TATTGATGTAATAGGTGGAGGTGTGTTTAGATCTGTTATTGAGCTGGAATGTAAATATGACAAGAATGTGATCATAATATGGTGTTCATGTAGTACTCAACTTAAAACTTAAGTATGGAAGGCCCTTTATGTCAAAAAACTACATTTGGTACCTAGTAAAGATAAATAAAATAGATTTTTAAGTTATAAGTAAGTAGGTAAACATGAATTACTGGTTATGTGTGTAAAGTAAAGATGGTAGGTTGTTTATGTGTGTGGGCAAGTATGCCAGACTGAAAGAAATTTGATGGCTGAAAGATGGTTAGGTGTGATATTGTTCCTACATTGCTCGAGTTATAACTCAAGAAAACAAAAGGCCCTATATGTTAAAAGAAACATTTGGTACCTAAGAAATATAAAAGTAAAAAGGATGAGTTATAAGTTAGAGTGTAGGTAGGTGAAAAGTTAACAGGCTTATGGAGTGTATTGTGACAATACACTCTTTAACACTGTTAACAATACACTGTTTAACACATCTTTTAGGACCCATCTTCCCACATGTGTCTTTTTACCATTTTCTAGGTACCAAATGTCTCACAACATACAGGGCCTTTTGACAAAATCTCTAGCTTAAAATAAATATATCCTTACACATGTATAGTTGGTTGCCTATCAATCCACAAAATTTCATAAATTCTAGTTGACCTACATTAATTTTTTAAAAACCAATTTTCAATGTTACAAATATACCTATCTGATTAATTTACATACAGATTACAATATTGATGGTTGATACTGTTACATTATTATAATTTTAACTTTTTTAATTTTAAATAAGGCTGACATCTGTCAATTTTAGACAACTACCGTAAGTTACACTGACTGCTCTGACACAACATCCGTCCTAACTTGTCAACAATGTCATTATGATCAGTTGTTATCAACAGGTCCTCGTAGGCACTTCGTCTCAGGACCATTTTACTCATGCAGAGTCATACGCCGCCATGTTACCTATCCAACGGTAACTTAACTATCACAACTTAGAAACACTAATAATGTAAAACAATTTCAAATTTATAACATTTAAAGGGTTTTTACCCATATATTTTGGTGGCTACTAGCATGTACAACCGTAAGTATTAACCACATTTTGCTCTAACCTTTGTCAACATTTTCATTTAACGTTCTTTTTAATTAAAGTGGTTATATACTTTCAGGTTTGCACTGATGATGGATTGTTTAATCCGAAAACGTGTTGCAATGTGTTTGTGATAGCCCGTTTGAGGCAATTTTATATACCTTTTATAAAGGATTTTAACAAAATTTTTTTGTGATATATAGCCAGCTACAGGAACTTAGTTTCCTCGTGGAGGAGTAAAATGAAGGGTTAGGGGGAAAACGATGAGAGTCAATCTGAGTAGAAACAGAGAAAACTCAAATTGAAAGTTTGAACCGTAATCATTTATAAAATGGGCTAAAAGAAAAGACAAAATACTATATAATACTAATACTACTATTCTACCTGACCACGTAATAGTGTAACTTAGCTCAAAGAAGGTGTATTCACGTAATATTTTTAGTACAATAAAACTTTAATACATACCGTAATTGGGAAAAACGATGAGAGTCACAAAATAAGATATAAGAATGATGGGAGTCAGTATGTATTAAACTTGTTATAGATAACAGAATTTTATGTATGTAAACAGCTTAAATACGAATGTAAAAATTCTTGGTAATTTGCTCCAAACGTTTTAATAAATGTTTTTTTTGTATTCTTTTGTTGTTTTGTTTGTTTGGAAACTTTTAGACGCGGATTATCTGCAAAATGATTCAATATAAGATGGTTCGCCGTGTTAAATCAATTATGGTAGTTATTTAGTCTACAAAAAATAGTCACTCAACTCACCCAAAAACTTCATCCGAATCATCATTGCGTTCAATTTTAAGGTCAGTTGTTGGTAAATTCTCGTAGAATACTTGAGATTCCCTAGGTAGAAACTGTTTCAAAACTTATGATAAATCCTCGTATTTAGGTTTGGGTACAGGTAATCTTCCACTGTATAAATGTTTTGGTCGAATGTCCAGGTATTTTTCCATTTCAACAGCCAGGGAATCCTTCTTCTACTTAGATCTTCGCGATTAAGCATTACTTTTATTTGGATTAATGAGAGGAAAACTTGTAACATTTTTTTATTAGTAAAATATTAATTATTTTTAATTTCTTTTACCCCCATGCGATACGCCGATGATTAGGAATTCCCGTGTTTACGATAAGAAAATAATATTGGTGGATCTACTAAATTATAATGGACTTCCCTAATTACTAAAGGTAGTTAATCCTTTCCGTCTTAATACTCAGTATGAAAAGATTTAATGCTTTTGGGTATGCAGGTTCTTTTACATAAATTGATAATTTTCGCCGAAGGCCCGTATCTTTTGACAATAACTTAATCCCAAGTATTGTCTGCTTCTCATGTCCAATTGTTGGTACCGGTAACTCAAAACTTTCGGAATTTTTACTTCCTCAGAATTACCTACAACTGTCCGATGATTTTAAGTGGGGGATATACCGTCTTCTTCTTTTTTCTTGGATAGTTGGTGAAATTTTTAGTGGAACCAAGTTACTTCTTGGTAGGCTCTCGTTGAGCACAGGTCGATTATCTCGTGAGACTTCTCGGTGGGCTCTCGTTGAGCACAAGTCGATTATCTCGTGAGACTTCTCGGTGGCCTCTCGTTGAGTGTAGTCGCTTGCCTGAAATTATTGTCTCTGTGAATTATTTTCTAAGTGTGTATACACTATATATTTCAGTTTTCTTGTATTAGACTATATTAAGTTATATATAGTTCAGAAATTCAGTGTTGAATACCAGTACAGTATATTCAATTCAGTGAATTAAGCTGTCGTCCTCAGAAATTATGTAAGTTACCATAATCTTTATCTGCAAATTATCTGGGCGAGTAATATGGTATGGTATCATACCACCTGCCATTATCTGGACGTATCACCCATCATTCATCGATATCTTCATCTGTAGTTTGCCGATTTTTATATTTAATTTAAAGAACAATTCAAGAACTTTCCATAAATAATAACTATGAACATCTCAGTTTAGCATTAATTAATAGTGCGAGATAGTAACCCACCTAGCCAAGTGCGGTTTGGCTAGTTAATGTTTTCAACTCTGTAACCTGTTTGTTTTTTTTTTTGTAAATTTAGAGTTGAGGAATTTTTGCTATCTTTTGTATTTGCTATAATTTTTGCTCATTATCTTTCCTATAATATCTCGAGATACGCCAAACTATATTTGTATATGATTGCCTTGTATATCTTGGTAAAGGTATTTTTTTATTATATTATTGATTAATTTTATACATATATAACACCATTTCATAGTTGTGTATTTTTATTACTTGTGTTGCATTTAGCAGCATCATAATTTTGTGTTTAATATATTGTTAGTGTTTTATGCATGTATTTTATTTGTCGGCTCCTAACAAGTTCCCTGATAAAATAGTAGCTCTAAATATTTGCTTAGTATATTAATTTATTACTATACCTTTGACCAGTAGAAAGATCAGGCTGATTTAGTTTCGTAGGTAAGTAAGTGTAATACCTAATATATTTATTATTTGTTTATATATTGTGTTGACTAAATTTATTTGATAATTAACTGTTGGTATCTTTCCTTGGGTTTTGCTTTTCTAAGGTTTCTTAATTTTCTCCTTAACCCCAAAAAATTGAGTGGCGCCCTGTTTCTATCTTCTCTTATCTTTGGTAATTTTACCCATTTATCTTTTTGTTTATTTCTATATCTTTTCTAATATCTCTTATCCTATCTTTACTTATTTCGTCCGTTGGACCCAATCCCGGTTCCAAAAGCTAGTTTCGAACCTACGACTCGCTCTCCACCAACCATCTGGCTGCCATCCGCAGTGTCTCCATTGGTTATCTTTCTAGCATCATCCAAAAAAGATTTCCGAGGTTACAAACTTACAAACGATCCATTGAAAGTATCTCGAAAGCTTACCATTTTTGGATTATTAACATTTACTTTAAACTACCGGACTGGTCGTGAAGGAAATGGACACTTCTGCTTTTTTAAGTTCAATGTTTGGAGAAACGAAGTTCAAATTACTCACACTTGAACACGTTGAATGGGGATGGCTTTATTCTTACATTGGCAATAACCGTCATTACCATACCAGTCATCAGGCACCTCGCAGTAAGACTTTTGATTAATCAATCCCATATTGTGGTCACATTCCATTTGCGAGTGGCCACGTATAGGAAATATCATATTCAAACTGTCCAGTCGACCACATACGTGTACAAGAAAATAACCCAGTCTGAAAAATGTAAAGTTTTTGTTTTGGCCTGCATAAGAGTCACAAAACACTGTCAACACAATAGTTTGATCTTATATATAAAAAAAACTTTTCTGTGTGGCCAGAACATGAATGTTAAAAATGTAGTACGATAACTGCCGTCTATAGTAGACATCATTTGTTGATATGTTGGATATAAAAAAATCCATGCAAATGCCTTCCATTTCTATAGATTTTTGAAAAGCTTTCCTAACTGAACCTTTCGTAGCGTAAAAAGATTCTGCTTTTCTTAAATGTAGATTTTGTAAAGTGTTAATGTTTTTTAAATCATCCTGTAATTTTTTCAATATCTCCTCATTAGGCCTATCAATCACCAATTTGTTTTTGCAGATCTTGTTCTCGATCCTTGAACTGATCACATGTACTTCACGTATCAGTACGTGGATAGCCGAAACCTATATTATATTTAGTGTTAAATATATTGCGGTATGAATCATAGGAAACTTTATTATTTGGATAAAGTTCATTGTATAGCCTATGAAGTTTTTTTATATCCAGAGTCTCGGGCAAATCAATCTTTTTTGTGTTATGCCGACTGCAATGAGAACGACGACCTTTTAAAAACTTTATATGTAAATGAACCTTAGAAAGAGTTTCCTCTGATAGTTCATGTGGCCTATTACTATGTTTACCTGGTCTATTTTTCACAATGCGACCTTTATTTGTCAGCATTGAGTGTAATGTTTGCACTCTTCGAGGTGTGATACCATGTATCGACATGAATGCCTTGAAACAAACAGGAACTTTTATAAGATTTCCATCTACTAAATACCTTATTTTATAGGAATAAGAATATGTATCCTCATTTCTAGGTCGGCACTGTTTCACCAATGATGTAGTAATTAGACCACCTAAATATAAGTTCTGTTCGTTATAATCCTCCATCTCATTGAATTTAGTGACAACTAGCTGCCTATAACACGGTTTTATGGCATCGAAGCACCTTAACCTAGAACAACGACAGTTCGGGCGTACCTCATGACTTTGTTTCAATAGTTTCTTCTTCACTTCGGAAAGTCTACCTAACTTTGGCTTCTTTTTCGGCACTTGATCCATTTCCTCTGCCAACTCCATAATTTGGAGTAAACAAACTAATCAAGTAAACAATACTCAAATAGTAACAAATATTATATCAAATTTAACCTCAAAACACATAAGTAAACGCACAATGTAACGAAACGTGACTAACGGCAAGAGCCAACAATGCTGTTGAATAACAACTGTAAACTGACTATTACCATCGTTCTGTCCTCTGCGGCAACTGACGCTCATCATTTTTCCCTCTGGCTTGTTTTATATATATGTAATATATATAAAATAATTTATGTTATATGCTAGCGAATATTATAAAAAAATAATTGTATGAGGGTATTTTTAAAAATTTAGCATAGGATTAAGTTTAAAAAGTTTTTTATTTTATTTTATTAATAAATATATTTAAATGGGCCATGTGCATAGGCAACCAAATATACACTGTGATATTTGACATTTGGATGGTTGCGGATGTGAAGTGGGGTTATTTATTAGTTTGGGATGTTTAATTTAAATATAATTACGGATGTAAAATAGTGATAATGTATTAGTTTAAGATATTTAGTTTATATATAATAGTGTATTCTGATCTGAAAAGCCTAAATGTCCATAAAATTCTCACTAGAGTTTTCAGGAAAATGTCAATATAGAAGACAGTTAATCCTATTTGCATAGTCGATTATTCCAGAACTTTCATATATTGATGAGATGAAGAGTTTCGAACATGGTTTATTGCTAGAACAGTCTGAAACGATAAAAGCATATAAACACTAGGTAATTTGGAGCAAGAGGGCATTAAGTTACAGTTACTAAGTCAGTTACAGTCAATTATTAAGTTAGTAGAAGGCATTAAGTTAGAAGAAGGCAGACATTAAGTTACATTAAGTCAGTTACAATTCATTAAGTTAGTGACAATAAATTAGATTCATCAAGAAAGTTAGTTCAAGACAGTTACAATTCATTAAATTTAGTTAGAAGAAAGGATTAAGTGAGATGAAGTCAGTCAGTCAGTTACAATTAAGTTACGATTAAGTCATTAAGTTAGTGACAATAAATTAGATTCATCAAGAAAGTTAGTTCAAGGCAGTTATAATTAAATTAAGTTAGAAGAAAGGATTAACTTACAAGAATTCATTGTCTGATACAGTTGGAGAGTATGAGAGTAAATTAATTCAATATAGTTAGTTCAATACAGTAATAGTTAATTATTAGTACAGTTATACAGTAACAGTATGGAGTTAATTCATTAAGAAGTTAAGCAGTCAATAGTACAAGAACATAGTATACAGTATATTTTAAAATATATTATATGGAGATTACAAGAATTTTAAATTATAATATCTATATGCAATTTTACAAATACAAGGATAACCGAGGCTGATTAAGAAGATATTTAGTGGTGATTATAACTTTGATTTTGGAGAAAACTTTAGGCATTAAGTGATAGTAAGGTACCTGTGTGTTTCATAATAGTTATAATAAAGATAATTTAAAAAGTACTTACAAACTAATTCTTTGAGAACCGCGATAAAAACCCTATACTTTATATATATATATATATATAATATATATATATATATATATATATATATATAATATACTATATATATATATATATATATATATATATATATATATATATATATATTATTCAAAATTACTCATAGCTCATACACAAACAAAACATCTGGAGCTCGAACCCACATCCACTGAACCATTCGACAGTGAAGCGAATGAGAATCTTCCGCCTAACCCGTTGTATTTGTTTAAGCAATATATCCTTTACTTTAAGTGGTTCTAATATCGATACGTTAGGATCCAGGATAGAATCCAGGATATTCTCAACATGCGGTGGTATACCCACATTTCAAAAGCCTCCAGTTTATTTTTATTTGCTTTTTTTAAGGTCCACGTATCGAATGCTTGTATGGCTATGGGAAAAATGAGTGCCCTGACCAGCCTTAGTTTTGTGTGTATTGTTATGCTAGAATTTTTCCAAATTGTTTACAGTTTTATCATAGCTTTCTGTCACACCCTCCATCATTTGTTATTAGGGATCCCAGATATATAAAACTATTTAATACTTTAAGGCCTCCATTTTCTTTAATGTATTGAAGATTATTTGGAGCTCTGTCTACTATCATGATCTTTGTCTTACTCCTATTTAGCTTTAGTCCATATGTTTTGATTTTCTCCTCCAGACATCTCATTATGTCTTCCATTTCTTCTTTATTTGTCGCGATTATTAAAGTGACATCAGCATATCTCAAGTTACTGATTTTTTGATCTCCTACTAATATTCGACGCTTCCATCCGTCTAGTACCTTTCGCATAATGTGTTCGCTGTAGATATTAAATAGAGTTGGCAAGATTATGCATCCCTGCCTGACACCTGCCTCTGCTCTGAAATGATCGGAATGGGTGTTTTTTATTTTTACTGTGCACTCATTATTTTTATATAGACTTCTTATTACTTAGTTCAATTAGGTGGTGGAGTGTTCCCATTTCCGCTAGTATGGACCATAGCTGCTGCGATTTGACTTTATCGAAGGCCTTTGTGTAATCCACAAAGCACATAAGCATAGGAGTATTGAATTCACGAGTTTTTTCGATTAGCTGTCTGATATTAAGGATGTGTTCTCTTGTGCCTTTTCCTGGGACATATCCCGTTTGTTCTTCTGAAATATGAATAATTCTAACTACATGGTCACAGAAATAGGATACTGCACATGTTTTGTATGTGTTGGCGACACAAAATAACAAAAGAGAAAGTCAAATTCCCTAAACTTAAAACAGAATAAATGAGCTAGCCAGTTTATCAGTGCGATTTTACGAAATAACAGGAAACAATATATTTAAAAGCAAATAAGGATATACCAGTAAATTCGATCATATTATAGTACAGTAAAAGAAACTAAAAAAAATGGAAAAATATGAAAATAAATACTACATACTTTCCCAAACACCTATTAAAACAACAACAAAATACCTTGAGCTACAAATAATTTTTATAATAATAAGTTTTAATCAAACAATAACCTAACCCTAAAACATGAACATTGAGAGTAAATATCTTAATATTTTGACAGAAACGGTATGTATGTTTATAACCAAAAGTCCTTATTTACCATTTAAAGAATTAATAAAACCAATATTTCCAACTTCTTATAGAGCAAATACAGACGAATTTGAAATGTTTGAAAACTTTTTCTAAGCCCCGCCCATTGGCACGTCAAAACTTAGGAAGACCATTCAATAGTTTAAATTAGAGTTTTTAAATATTTCTGATACATTTGATTCGTTATATCTTCTTCTTAGGGTACCTGTCCGTTCCGAACGTTGGCGATCATTCTGGCTATGATGACTTTGCTGGTCTTTCTATGCCATGATCTCAGGTTAGCAAGCCAGGATATTCTTCTTCATCCTGGGTCCCTTTTTTCTTTAATTTTACATAACTTTATATAAAATACTTTATAAAAAGGCAGTTTAATAATGTTCTCTTCAAGGAAACAATGAATTTCTTCGTATAATTTTTGAAGTCTTGTTTTTAATACTTATTTATTTTTCTCGGGATCTTGAATAGCTCTTTTAATTTTTTATTAGCTGTTTCATATTTTTATTCTGCTTATTAGCATTGAATTCTTCGTTTTTCAAACCTGACCTTTGTCTTACTACCATCGGTATTTCGTCGGAGTTTGGTGTTACTTAAGAGCAATAGACACTTTAATGTTGATTGTATCTATTACCCAGATAATTTTGAGGTGTGGATATCTAAAGAATGTTTCCTTTCATACCTTTGCCTTTTTTATAACCAATAATTTATAACTCTTGTTTTCTTTTCGAATTGTTTGCGTGTATTTAGTGTTCACCTGCTCGAAGCTATACCTCGAAACAAGGCTGATCACCGTGTACATACGGTGTATTTAAAAAAATACTGTTATACCTCACCCACACTCTCATTTTCAATTCAAAATATCGCGGAGAAAGTTGTCGGGCGTAGTGGGCTGACGTAGTTGTAAAATCCGAAGTTCATTCATACCTCTTGTGGAATATACTAGTTTTGTTCTTTTTTCATTTGCATTTCTAGAATGCGTTCAGAGCGCTGGCTGGAGGTATAAGTCAGATGCAGCGGATTTAAAAATATTTATTACCACTAAGTGAAATCTTTTTATAGAACTTTTTTATTAAATATTAAACACAAATGAAGGAGAAAAAATGAATGACGACAGAAGATTGAGATGTGTATAATATAGTGGTAAATAGACGAGGTCATGTTTTTATATTATTTGCGTACTAGTTTAACTTTCATTAAAGAAATAATTTCTTATTTAATGAAACTTATTTCTTCATATGCAGCGTTTGTGGATGGTTTATTGAAAATACCACACGCCATCTAGTGCCCTTTGAGGAAAAAGAAAATGCCATGGTATTAGATTTGTTTCTATTCAAATATTGCAGCTATTAGAATTAAATTTATAACTAATAGGCCAGGGAAATAAGCAAAAAAGTGCCCTTTTTGTGATACTGAACTGGCCAGGCAAACGACAGTTGTTTTGAGTACTATGTACTAACAAAAACCTATATGTTTCTTGCAGTCGCTTATTTGGACTTACTTAGTTAGTAACAAATCAAGGAGAAAAAACGGTAAATTATCATTTTTTTCGTCTATTGGCATTTGAAACAAATTTGAGAGTAATAAACTTCAATAAAGTTAAGAGTAAAAGTCCTATAAAAACCTTTAAAATGTTTAAAATATGATCAAAATTTTAAAGTGATCTTGCACATTGTTTAAAAGTTAGTTTAATTAGTTATCCCAATTTAATTTTTTTGCGACAAGTCAGAAAATAATGAAGTTGCAGTAATTTTAAGGATTATTATAAAAGAAGAAGGAGTATTCTATAAAAATTATTAAAAAAAGTGAAGAAAAACAGTTAAATTTGTACAAATTTAAAAGAAAAAAAAATGGTTTTATACTTTGTTTAACAAAATAACATTGCGGAGGTCAGTGTTGATAAAACTTTCAGGCCCGTTTTGATATTAGA